GAAAACAGGTGGCCCCCACCTCCTCCTTTCGCAAATATCTTGACTTGTATTCAAGACAAATCGATATTTTTTATCCAAATAAATACAAGTGAACAAGCTTTAAGATGATACCAATAACTCTACATGCCCAAAAATTGACGAGAGCCTGATTCCATCACGCTCCCTCACAAATATTTTGTTACAAGTATTGGATATACTTCAGACCACTTTTTTTCTTCTTGGACTCCGGTGATTTTTGGGAATAATTTAACGATTTGATGTCCTGAAATTGTTCGATAGTGCTTTGAGATAGGTTCGTAAGATTCGATGATAAGATAGAAGTGCTTCCCGCCTCTTAAATAGCCTAATAGTGTTGACAGGGCCGTTAAATCAACTCACGAGAACATACTACATACAGCAGAAGTGCTATCTGGTACTAACTGCATAAGGTCATATGAGCGCCAGAAGATTAGAGGTGTTACAAGAGAGTAACAAACATAAAAAAGAAGAAGGGAAGATAAGGACGGTAGATATTTGATAGGAAAGAAGGAGCAAACCACACCAGAGCACCCGCCAACTGCCCAACAAGTCTATGAACACATGAGAATTACATATATGGAAAGTCTATGGACAAGTGTGATTTACATATACAAGAGACTTGTTGTATATCATACGACAAGTCTCTGGTTTACGCCATGTTTGAGAATCACCTGAGCTCTTTGTCCAAACACTTGACGGCAAACTCTCGGACGTTCCGGTCGGGGTATTCGTAGTCCAGGATCTCCAGGGCAAAGTCCACGGGCAGGGTCGGCCAGGTCTGCAACAGGGCCGTCATCTGAAATGTCAAAAGGTCGCTACCTTAGAATTGCACAGTTCTATCTGACATTTTAAGCAGTTTAGGGTTACTAAGACCATGAGGTCAGAAACCAAATGTTCTATCTGCACTATCAAAATCGTAAGATTATTCGAGGTCATTGTCAAGATATTCAAAGAATTACATTTGAAAAAGCTCGACACGTTGGGAAATGCAAAATTTTGAACGACAAATTTCTCAGAACCAGGTACTGAGCTGACAGAACTTTTTGTAATTCTAGGGCTGCAACGTGCTAAGTTTTCACCTTGTCCAGCAGGAAAACTCTGAGCTTGCAACAATTCTTTTGTTGCACTGGCGAATGTTTCTGTACATCACTTTTTTTTTTAATCTCTCGTATCAGCATTCAATAAACTGTCAAGGCTTCGTTCTAGAGTGAAGTACAGCATCCGTTAGTGAATTTTGGCATAAGGAAATGTGATTTTAGCACCAGTAATCGGCTTTTAGCAACAATAAGTAATTCTTAGCATCAGTCAGTAAGTGAATTTTTGCATCAGTCAGAAAGTGAATTTTTAGCATCAGTCAGAAAGTGAATTTACTTACTGCAGCCAGCTTTATACAGTTATGCCACTTACTGCAGCCATCTCACATAACTGTTCCACTTGCTATATCCACCTCCCACGGCGTCACTTTTCGCCCGATTCTGTTACCTTTAGTTCGCGTGACTCAGCAGCCCGCCGGAGCTCCCCCGCTCG